GACACAGAGTAGAAGGAGGGAGAACAGATTTAGGGAGGAAAGACTGTAATTTCAGGTTTTAGCATGTTGACGTTAAGGTGGAATATCCAATGTATGAGTCTGAAGTTTAGAAGGGAGATTTTCTTTTCTTTTTTTTTTTTTTTGCCTGGGCTAGAGTGCCGTGGTGTCAGCCTAGCTCACAGCAACCTCACACTCCTGGGCTCAAGCAATCTTCCTGCCTCAGCCTCCCAAGTAGCTGGGACTAGAGGCATGCATCACCATGCATGCCGGCTAATTTTTTATATATATATATTTTAGTTGTCTGGCTAATATTTTTCTATTTTCAGTAGAGATGGGGTCTCCCTCTTGCTCAGGCTTGTCTCGAACTCCTAAACTCAAACGATCCGCTCACCTCTGCCTCCCAGAGTGCTAGGATTACAGGCGTGAGCCACTGCACCTGGCCAGAAGGGAGATAGAGATAAAAACAAGGTGTAGGGCTGGGCGCGGTGGCTCATGCCTGTAATCCCAGCTCTCTGGGAGGCGGAGGAGGGAAGATTGCTCAAGGTCAGGAGTTCAAAACTAGCCTGAGTGAGAGCGAGACCCCGTCTCTACTATAAATAGAAAGAAATTAACTGGCCAACTATATATATAGAAAAAATTAGCCAGGCATGGTGGCACATGCCTGTAGTCCCAGCTACTTGGGAGGCTGAGGCAGGAGGTTGAGGTTGCTGTGAGCTAGGCTGACGCCACGGCACTCACTCTAGCCTAGGCAACAAAGTGAGACTCTGTCTCAAAATAAATAAATAAATAAATAAAAATAAAAAAAATAAAAATGACGTGTAAGTTATTGGCATATGGATGGACACTTGTGCTTTTGAGGCTGTGTTAGTACCAAGGAAATTCTAGGGTGGAATCTTGAAGAAAGCCAGCATTTAAGAGAGGGGCAGAGGTAGAAGATCCTGAAAAAGAAATGGGGCGTGGGCAGAGAGGTGGAGGGGAAGCCCAGGGAACGAAGCAAGAGAAGTGGGGGCACAGAGGCTCCTATAAGGAGGGCGTGGTCACAGGGGCAAATGTTATGGAGAGTCTGAGCAACAGGAGAATTAGGAAGCAGTGTTTGTCAACTTCAGTGATACGGAAGTTGTGAGCGATGGCCAAGGGCAGTTTAGGTGGAGCAGTGGAGGCTGTGATCCACTGCTGATTAAGAGGTGAGCAAGCAGCACCCACAGACATTTGCACTAAGACTCCTGCAGATGACACTAAGGAGCTGCAGGGGCATACAGAGATGAGGGTAACTGTATCTACAATATTTCCATACTTCTGTTTTTTCTTTTAGATTTAAGAGACTTGAGCTCTTTAACTTTTAACTGCTGAAGGGAAGGAGTGAGTAGAGAGAAGAGTAAAGGACAAGAGTATGTTTGGAGGAAATGGGATCCATGGCTGGTAGAGGAATAAGATAGCTGCCTTGACAGGAGGAGGAACTCATCTCCCGCCCAGCCAGCTGGGAAGAGGCAGAGATGGGCAGGAAGGTGAGTTTGTGGGTGTGTGGTGGGCAGGGCTCGTGCCTGGCATTTCTGTGTTGTTAGTGAGGTAGAAAGGGAGGTTGTTTGCAGCTGACGGTGGGGGTAGAGTTGGTGGGGCAAAGGTTTAAGGAGAGAGCAGAAGGCTGCGGTTCGATCCTGGGGAGGATGAGGAAAGAAGCTTGTAGAGGAAACCAGAGAAGTGCTTGGAATATTGAGGACCAGGTGTGGCTGAGGACATGAATTTCGATCCATGGTGAATCCTGCATGAACAGAACTTTTCTCTGTAGTAATCGGCTGCCAGGAAACGGGCACAGGGGAAGTGGACAGTTAGATTCTATTCTTAGGATTCATAAAGTCTGAGGAGCTTTTGGAACCTAGAGAGAAACACTTAGCACCACCACGTATGCTTTATTTATTGTTTAATTATGTGCTTCATAAACCTATTTAAGCAAAAATTGTATAAACATTTAAACACTATATAACCAACAAATCAAAATCTATATATTTAACAAGTCAAATTATTTAAACATTGATTACAAACTTAATCAAATTCTCCTAAATATTTCAATTAATCACCAGTCTAATAGGTCAGCTTCTCTAAAAGCTTCATTTTGGTAAAGCACACACATTAGAAGGATTATAAAATTTATGACACCTACACTTAAACTCATTATAAAAATGAGTTTCTAGATCCAAGAAATGGACATCATCTCAGTTTGGACCAATATTCAAAAGAAGAATATTATCTCAGCGCAGATCAAGTTTTGGGTTGTTAAATGGTGAATTCTTGGTTGGGACTTGGAAATTAGTTCACCTTCTAAAATGATTAAAACCTGAGCTGGTATTTACCTTATATCATGGGAATTGTTTAAGCCCTCCATATTCCATGCATTTCGTGTATTATAACTGGATGCCCTTTCTCTATATGATGTCATCTTTAAATTTAATGACTATGATATGCAGATGTCCCAAAGATGTCCATACTTTAATCCCTGGAAGCTGTGAATATGTTATGTTACATGGCAGAAGGGACTTTGCATATGCCATTCAGGTCATGGACTGTAAAGTAGGGAGATTATCCTGTATTATCTGGGTGGGCCCAATCTAATCACATGAATCCTTAAACTCATGGAACTTTGTCTACTGAAGTCAGAGATGTGTGGCAAAAGGGTAGGCCAGAGAGGGACTCCACCTGTTGCTGGCTCAAAGGTGGGGCGAGGGAGGGACTTCAGTCCTACAACCATAAGGAACTGAATTCTAAATGAGTCTGGAAGTGGATTCTTCCCCTCCAGTAAGGAAGGGAATCCTGCCTACACCTTGATTTTTTTTTTTTTTTCTATTTTTTTTTTTTTGAGACAGAGTCTCGCTTTGTTGCCCAGGCTAGAGTGAGTGACGTGGCGTCAGCCTAGCTCACAGCAACCTCAAACTCCTGGCTCAAGCAATCCTCCTGCCTCAGCCTCCCAAATAGCTGGGACTACAGGCATTCGCCACCATGCCCGGCTAATTTTTTGTATATATTAGTTGGCCAATTAATTTCTTTCTATTTATAGTAGAGACGGGGTCTCACTCTTGCTCAGGCTGGTTTCGAACTCCTGACCTTGAGCAATCCGCCCGCCTTGGCCTCCCAGAGAGCTAGGATTACAGGCGTGAGCCACCGCGCCCGGCCTACACCTTGTTTTTGACCTGTGAAGCACTGAGCCCGGGAATCCGGTCATGCTCTGCGGGATTTCTGACCTACAAAAACTATAAGATAAAGAGGTGTTGCTTTAAGCCCACTGTTTTAAGTTTTTATTAATTGGTTAGACAGCAATAGAAAACTAATACAGTAACTTTCATGTCTTTATTTACAAATTGATCTGGTCTATTTACATTTTGAAAAACTTCAAGTTGTCCTCCCCAACATCCAATCTCCCCTTCTTCCTTATTATAAAACTCCTAACTTTTAGCTGGACATGGCTTCCTGGAATAATGACCATATTTCCTAGCCTCTCTCCCTGGTGTGGTGTGGTCAGGTGTGATTAAATTCTATCAGATGACATTCAATCAGAAATGTTGAGTATACCCTTCAGAAAGCTTCTTTAAAGAAAAGGGGTGTGCCCTTTCCCCCTCCTCCTCCTTGGGGGCTGTTAGGCTGATATAATGGCTGGAGCTCAAAGGGCCACCCTGGGTCATGCAGTGGAATGCTAAAGGTGGCAGAATAGTAAGAAGGGAGACTGGGCTTTGGTGATCATAAACCCGCCATCTGTCCCTAGACTCTATTTGCACATTCTTCTATGTGAGACAGAAACTATCTTGCCTTTTGTCAAAGCTATTCTTATTTTGGGTTTCACTGCTATAGTCAAACTTAACCCTAATCATTTAGCCTTATTAGTGTCTCTTTATAATTAGTAGGGTAATACAGAGGCTTTATTTTCTAGGAGAACAACAATCAAATTTGAGCAGTGAGCAGTTGTCTTTTGGACATTTGACTAATTTATCATCATCTTGTAATGCATTGTTTGACTGTCTTTCTTCCTAATTGCAAAGTATGACCAAATGGTGATGTTCAGTACCTTTCATTCTTGGCATAGTTCCAATTTTTTTTTTCTAGAATTACTCATAGTTCTCTGTATCCACCCCTCCTTACTTATACAGATAAAGGAAAGTAAATGTACCTTGCAAGTAGACAAAATATCTACTATATTTATGCTCTTCTACTTATCACAATTGACTAAAAATAAACCCATTTTATTCACTCTTCTTCACTCAATATATGAATTACCTTTTGGCACATTTATAGTGACTTTTTTCTTAAGGAATATCATCATAGATTCATAGAGTTTAAAATTCACCTGTTCCAATTAACTATATTATTATCCTTTAGATGATAAAGTTGTTAAAGCATGTCAAGTGGGAGGCTCTTCAAATTGGTTCCTTTGTCCTTTCAGCTTTACACTGTACATTTAAAAGTACCTTTGCTTTCCATCATCAACAACATGTTCTAGGCTTAGAGTTATTTAAGGCATACAGCTATTCTCCAAGGAACTCTAGGTTTTTTTAAAGGTGACTAATATTTGAGGCAAAGATCCAGGTGCTAAGAATGCATATTGAATTGTTCCTGATGTTTCTATGGTACTTTAGTGACAAAATTTGAATAATTTTTTTTGTTTGTTTTTGAGACAGGGTGTCACTCTGTTGTTCAGGCTAGAGTGCAGTGGCATCATAAGAGCTCACTGCAACCTCAAACTCCTGGATTCAAGTGATCTGCCTGTCTCGGCCTCCCGAGTAGCTGGCACTACAAGTGCATACCACCATGCTTGGCTACTTTTTCTACTTTTTGTAGAGATGGGGGTCTTGCTATGTTGCTTAGGCTGGTCTTGAACTCCTGACCTCAAGTGCTCCTCCCACCTCAGCCTCCCAAAGTGCTGGGAGTGCAGATGTGAGCCACTGCACCTGGCCTGTTTTTTTTTAATCACAAAGTCACATTGGTACTTCCTATGTAACTCAAACATTACTAAATGCTTTTTAATTTGACTGTAATATACACTTTCATATTTATTTTCTCTAGAACATATCTGCTTGCGTCCTGTAACCCCTGATCAAAACTGTAAAGGTATCCTTTCTTTAGTGATCCTATAGTATCTCATCGACCATCATTCTCTACTTACTTTATTGATACATTCATCCATGCTGGGCCAATGGGACAGTGGCATAAGATGAGAGAGAGAGAGTTTATGATACTAGCAGGAGAGCAGTTGAAGTGGTGAATCATGAAATCCCAGGTAACAGGAAACTTATGAAGGAGAAGATATAGCATGGATCAGGAGAAAGAATAGAGATGGTGGAAACAGGCTGGAACAGGCACAGTGAAAGTAACTGGGTGAGAGAGCTGGGGAGGAAGGAGGTGGCAGAGTGTGGAGTGACTGAAGTTCAGACTTCCAATGTGGAGCAGTTGTAGGAAGTGGCTAAGCAAGAGGATGCGTGGTCACTGATGTGTTCCATGGTCTATGTGTGACCTTCTACCCCCACCTCCAGCTCTGTATACCCACTCTCAGCTCTGCCCTCAGCCAGAGCAAACACACACACCCAAGTTTCAGATGGGGAGGTAAGGGCCAGAGTCCATCTGGGACATGTCACACAGGGACAGCCAGGATCCCTCCCTGCCAACTACCCCTCTACACATGTGGAATGTTTACCATGATCAGGCTAGGCACATCCCCTTCTTGCCTCACCAGCCTCAGACTCAGGCTACTTTGTGGCCCTCCCTACACTTGTGCTTGTGGCTGAGCCTCCCGCCTTAGCCCATACGGTGCTGGTTCAGTTTCTGACAGTGCTGGCGGAGAGCCGGAGATCTGTGATGCTGGCACTCCTCACAGGAAGAAGCCTGCAGGGTATGCTAAGGCTAGTCCATCTGGGCCCCTGTGGGGGCCTGTCAGGCTCACCTGTGCCACCTGTCCCCACATGGCACTGAGCAGGAAGCTAGGGTGGGGAAAATGGGAAACAGGAGGAGCAGAGATTGCAAATTAGTACAGGCCTCCCTACCTGCCAAACGTTGCCCTGATCGGGGGCTGCAGGGATGAAGAGATGCAGCAGACAGCTGGAAAGGCAACTAGGAGTGGGTGGGAAGGGCCAGATTCTGAGATGCCACAGACCTACTCTTTTCTACTATTAACCTTGGGTGTTTGACACAGGGTCCCATGCAAGGAGGTGGGATATAGGCAGCCAGAGGGAGCCTCTCTCTTGCCCCAGAGATGCTTTTTCTGGAGCAGGAGAGGGCAGAAGGCAATGGTCAGAGGTTGGGCTCCCATCCTTGAAAGGCCTGGACCCTCAGAGGGGGAAGATGAGGAAGCCAGAGAAGCTTGAGTATTTCCAGCCACCCAGCAGATTCCCTCGACGCAGGCGCAGGGACACTCGGTCCCCCGGGTCCAAGGGCAGTAGCACAGAGCTGGTGGCTGCCTCCCGGGTCACATCAGGGTCATTGGCAAAGGCTGAGATGACAGGCCAAGTGTTCAGCATCAGGCTCACCTGGGGAGGGGAGCCCAGTTAGCACCCATCTCCCAGCCCTTAGCCCAGGACCCTCACTATTCCAAGGGCTTCCTTGGGGAACCTGGAGCGTAATGGACCCTCCTGGAAGGGTTGAGTGGTGGCTAGCCTTTGACGCCAGACATTCTCCACACTCTGCTAGCCAGGCCTGTTCCTCCCCTGCTCCTGGCCCCCAGGACATGGGTGAATGGAGGGTCTGCCTAGAGGTCAGACGGGCTCCACTTATTCCCCCTCCTCTCTCCTGAGCTGGGGATGGGGCCCAGCACTCAGATCACCTGGACAGTTTGACGATTGTACACCTTCACCACATGGAACCGGAAGCTGTAGACACCCCGGACAGGGGCCACGAAGGAGCCCGAGGCCCGGTCAAAGCCTCCGCCCTCGTTCACCAGGACCTGGGGGAAACATACCCTGCTGAGTGGGGCTGGGGGAAGCTGGGGCTCAGGGATACCACTGGGATTGGGGCAGGGGCAGTGGGTAAGGAGCAGAAGGGGTGGCAAGTGGGATTGAAGAGGAGTGTATGGATTCGAAAGAAATGTGAGAGGGGCAAGGAGAGGGGTGTGTGTGTGAGTGGGGTGGAGGAGCAACTGGCCAGATTAGAGAAAGATGTAGGGAGCCGTTTTCTCAAAGTCTGAGGATGACAAAGTGGGCTTGGACAATTGGTTCCAGGTCCTTGCAAGGTCCTTCCAGGTCCCCTGGACAGGGTAGAGGGATTACCTGGTCGAAGTAGATGGCCCCACTGGTGCCGTTGCCGGTTTCCCCTGCTGGCTCATGGTGATGGCTTCGCACTGCAGCAAATGCCACTCGTCCGGGGGGCGCCTCTCCCAGGGCTGCTCCCCCAGGCCCCCCTGCAGCAGCTCGTCCAGGCTCACAGACCACCAAGCATTCACCCTCCAGCAGGACAGGTTCTGACCCCTCCTGAGCCCATGCAGCCCCTAGGGCCAGAAGCACCAGGGCCAAAGGCAGCCCGGGGCTGTGTGGGGGACCTGGTAGCCAGTGTGGCTTTGCTCCCAACATGGCCGAGTGGCTCTGCAGCCCACAAGTCCCCATCTGCTGCCCCCTTTCTACTCCTATCTGTTTCTGCTCCTCTCCTCAACTCTCCCCAAGGTCACCCTGCTCCTCAGCCCTCTCTAGGTCCCCCTGCACGCCATCTCCATACCTCTCTGTGTCCCACGGCTCTGCCCTGCCTCCCACTCAGTTACTCCTGCTGTCACTGCAGTTCCCTCCTCCTTGGCAGAGCATGAAGTGACAGCAGTTGGGTTTTGGGAGGGAGAGGAGGCATGAAGCCACCCCACAGGAGGGCTACAGCCAGAGCCCCAGGGCAGCCCGTCTGTATAGGACAGCACAAGGCTGGAGGTGGGGGGTGGAGAACATGGGTGTGTGTGTGTGTGTCTTTGTGTGTGTGTGAGAATGTGTGCCTGTGTGCTTGTGCAAGAGACGGCTCCTACAGCCTCTGCCTCCTCATTTCTCCCCTCTTCAAAACTCCTCACAAATCAGCAGCCCTTCGTGGCATCTTTCCATTTGTTCGATGAAAGGGGTGTCCTTGTTTTTTTCCCTACGATTGTTTTGGTGGCAAGTGCTTGGGCCATGAGCACCACTACCTTGTGACCCTGGTCGAGTCATGTTCCCTCTTTGGTCTTCCACATCTTTTTCGGAGGGGACCAACTTTCAGCGAGTGGTTCCTCTTTCCCGGGAAACATCTGCGTAGGGCGCGCGAGAACCCTGAGACCGGAGACGCACGGGAGGGCTGGCGGCAAGCGCGCGGGGAGAGATCGCGGGCCCCCTGGCTGCACAGGCAGGGCGGAGCGGCCGCGCGGGCCGGCGGGGACGCGGGGGCGGGGACGCGGGGGCGGGGACGCGGGGGCGGCGGGGGCGGCGGGGCGGGCGGGAGGAGCGAGCGCGCAGCCAGCCTGCGGGCCCCGGCCCCGCGCAGGCCCAGCCCCGGGAGGAGCCGGCTGACTCCGCCCCAGGCCAGGAAGTGACTCAAAAACACTTTGAGATGTGGAGAAGAGAGGTGCCCGTTGGGTGAGGAACCCGGGAAGGCCCGCCCAGATTCGGGCCCCCTCGCCCTTGTCCCCAGGGGTGGAGGCACGGGCGAAGCGGGGGCCCGGCTGGCACGACAGGGGCCGGCGCGACCCGAGGCCGGCGTGGGCGGCCCAGGCGGTAGGCGCGCCCCTCCCCCGCGCCGGGGAGCCGGGGCGGGAGGCCGCGGTGGGGAGCGGACCTGGCCGGGGCCGGCGGCTGGGGTCGGCCGTGGGCGGGTCTGGGCCCCGGGTGGGGCGCTTGACTGGACGGAAGGGGACAGGGGACTGCGTACGGCTGGGGGAGGGGTGGGAGTGGCTAGAATCTTGGAAATGGCAGCCAAGGGGCCTCAGAAGACAGCCCAGTGCAAGCCCCTAGAGAGAATTCATCTTTAAGAAGACGTCTTGGACTCGGAGGTTGGAAAGTAAACAGGATAGGGACTCTTTCGTCACCTGTCCATTCCTTCTGGCCTCCAGACCTAGCTGGAGCACTGCCCATCTCCTTCCTGCTTACGGTTGTGGTCATTTTTCCAAACGCCAGACTCCCATCCTAGATAGACAGCCTTGTTTACCCATGACTTCCTCTCTGGAGAGAAGGCTGCTGCGTCAGAAAAATCTGACAAACTCCTTCCTTAGCCCCAAGATGGATTCAGATGCATGTTACCTCCTGGGGTTGTTTACCAGAACCGAAACTAGGTGCGACCTGTTGCTCACTGGTGTAGGCCAGCTAGTGTAGGCCGGGAGACCAGGATTTGGGTTGATGGGACAGTGAGGTTCAGAGCAGCCTTCTCCCCTTACAGAGCTGGGGGAAGCAGCCATGCCTACCTGGGAGGCTGGCTGCCCATCCCCCGACCGCTTTGCGGTGTCCGCGGAGGCTGAGGACAAGGTGCGTCAACAGCAGCTGCATGTGGAGCGTATTTTCCGCGTGGGCATGAGCATCCTCCCGAAGGACTGTCTGCAGAACCCTCACATCTGGCTGCAGCTGGAGGGCCCCAAGGAGAATGCCAGCAGAGCCAAGGTGACCTCCTCCTCTCCTTGATCCTTCCAGGGAATGAGGACTCCCACCCCCGGGAGCCAGAGGGAGGAGGGGGCTGGGGAGGATCTGACTTCTTGGTTGTCTCACTGGCAACCAGAATGCACCTGAGGTTTGAGGGACTTCCCAACTCTGTATTTGTCTAGAGTTTTGGCTTAATTTCTGTAGTGATGGCACAGGTTCTGCCAGAACGTGGGGACAAATCACTCTGTCCTATTTGGGAGAGTAGAAAGAATCCCATTGCACAAGAAGGCCTCACCAAAGAGTCCACTGAAGGGTGGGAGGCTGGGCTACAGTGCTCCCTTTGGAATCAGGCTGGGGTTCCAATGTGGCTCCACCACCTACCAGGCCTAGTAATCGGAATCTCAGTTTCCTTATCTATAAAATGGGAATAAGAGCAGTATCCACGTAGATATTCCAGGCATCCTGGAACTTGGGGAAGCGCAGTGAGCCTGAACAGATGGCTGGGCCACTTAGAATTCCAGTAATTTCCTTTTTCTGACCTTCTCCCCACTAGGAGTACCTTAAGGGTCTTTGCAGCCCGGAGCTGCAGGATGAAATCCACTACCCACCCAAGCTGCACTGCATCTTCCTGGGAGCCCAGGGCTTCTTCCTTGACTGCCTGACCTGGAGCACATCAGCCCACCTGGTGCCTGGAGCGCCTGGCTCACTGATGATCAGTGGCCTTGCTGAGGCCTTTGTCATGGCTCAGAGCCGGGTGGAGGGGCTTGTGGAGCGGCTGAGCTGGGACTTGCAGCCGGGGCCATCCCTGGGAGCCTCTCAGTGTGCTGGGGTGCTGGGAGACTTCTCTGCCCTTCTGCAACCCTGGGGGGATGCCCACAGAGAGGCCCTGCTGCAGCTGCCCCTGGCTGTCCAGGAGGAGTTGTTGAGTCTGGTGCAGGAGGTGTCCAGGTGTCAGGGGCCACAAACACTTTCCTCTTGGGAAGAGAGGAGCTCAGGCTTGCTGGGTGCTCAGTACCAGGAAGTTAGAACTTCTCCGAGTGAAGGCAGGGAGCCCCTGGACACTGGGTCCATGGTGTGGGGAGAGTCAAGGGGAGTGAGGGGAGAGAGTTATGCTGTGGGGAAGGAGGAAGGGAAACAGAGTGGTCCCAGGGAGATGGATTTGGGGTGGAAGGAGCTGCCTGGGGAAGAGGCCTGGGAGAGAGAAGTGGCTTTCAGGCCACAGTTAGTACCTAAAGGGGCAAAGGAGGTGGGGCCCCTGAAAGGGAAGGCCCTGGGGAAGGAGGGGGTGTCTCAGGAAAGAGGAGGGGTCTGTGTCCAGGGTGAGCCTCCTGGTGCCCATGGCCCCTGTCAGAGGGCAGCTCAACTCCGGGGAGCCTCCCTCCTCCAGCGGCTCCACAATGGGCAAGCCTCACCTCTAAGAGTGCCTAGCCCTCCACCTGCGCCTGAACCCCCATGGCACTGTGGAGACAGGGGAGACAAGCAACAGTCCATGGCTCGGGGTCGGGGGTCTCCATGGAAACGAGGCCCCCGGGGGGGCAACTTGGTGACTGGCACACAGCGTTTCCAGGAGGCCTTACAGGATCCTTTCACCTTGTGTCTTGCCAATGTGCCTGGCCAGCCAGACCTCCGCCATATTGTCATTGATGGCAGCAACGTGGCCATGGTGTGAGTACCTGGTGGGGCTTAGGGTCCTAGGGAGGGGGGATGAGACAGGGATCTTTGTCCACCATGGGACATGTGCTGAGGGGCCAGCACTGTAGCCAGGATGCCAGGCTCCTCCTCTGGGCCCCAGAGTGCTCACCCCTTCCCACTGCAGGCATGGCCTCCAGCACTACTTCTCCAGCCGGGGCATTGCCATTGCTGTGCAGTACTTCTGGGACCGTGGCCACCGTGACATAACTGTCTTTGTGCCTCAGTGGCGCTTCAGTAAAGATGCCAGAGTCAGAGGTAAGTTGGCCTTAGTCTTCTGTGTTCTGGGGTAGGCTCTATCTCCACCTTGAGGTGACCCCTGTGGTGTTCTTCTTTTTCTAGAGAGTCACTTCCTACAAAAGCTGTACTCCCTCAGCCTGCTTTCCCTTACCCCTTCACGAGTCATGGATGGCAAGAGGATCTCCTCCTATGATGACAGGTACTGGCTTCTCTCCTGGCCCCAGGCTTAATATTCAAGGAAGAATGAGGGAGAGAGAGAAACTCCTGACCGTTTCTGCCGTCTCCAAGCCTTGGTAATGGGAAAGAGGCCAGTCATTCCCCCGTGTGCCCTTATGACTGGGTAGGTAAACCTGCCCTGCAGGTGAGATAAGATGGACTGTAGACAACTGTGTATGCCCATTCATCAATCTTCATTCATCAAACTAAATGACACCTCTTTTATCTAGTGCCTTACTATGGAGAAAATACTGGTTTAATGGAAGGATGGGATAGCTAGTGACATAAATAGCTGACAGTTGCTTTCTTATAACCCGAATTTCCAAACATGTAGAGAAACTCCTCCAACATTGTAGAAAAACCAGAGTAAGCATTCAAAATAACAAGTAAAATAAAGAATCACAATCCATGAATAATAGGACTGTACAAAACATAGTATAGTAAAAAGATGACTGGACTTAGAATCAGAACATCTGAATTTGAGCCCCAAAGTTGCAGTATTCATTGATTTTGTGGACCCTCTTTTAGTGAATTAACCCTTTTTGTCTCAGGGTCCTGCTCCATTCATTCACCTCCCCTTGTGAATATCTAAAGAAGATCATGTACCTTGAGTGAGGTGAGAGTACAGTGACATTCCTTCTTAACTTTGCACAGGCCCAGTCAGGCATGGCAGAAGGCACTGTCTCCATTCTGTAGATGTGCAGACAGGGATTAAGAGTGCATAACTGTCTTTGCAAAGGACAAATTAGACCTCAGAGCTGCCAGATGGCTTGAATGAAAAACACAGGACACACTTCTGCCACAGCATGCATACGTGGTGTGGGAGATGGGCAGATTTTAAAAGCTAATTAACGAACTTAAAAATTTTATAAGTTCTTTATTTCTTTTGAAAGGATTTTTAAAAGAAGAAAATTTACAAGTTCTTTATTGTTTAGGACATTATTCAGTTTTTGAAAAGTTAGTTTCTAAACCTTAGTCATTTTATACTTTGGCTTTTTAAATACCATTTACTCCTTAACAAGTAAATGGTATTCTACAAAAAGGCAGTTCACTTTCTCCCATTGCTATTCTGTTTTATGATTGGATTTCACAGATTACCAAGATATGGAACCTCCTTTCCACACCAGCATTGAAACAAAATTGAAACTGAAGATTGAGTCAGTTTTAATGAATTTTAAAGGCACATGTCTGTGCAGCTGTGTAGGACCTGGTGGGCAGATAATACAATACAAATTGGGAATTTTGCCCAGTAACAGTGAATAAGCACAGTGGTGCACAGTGCAGACCTCCTGAACGAATGCTGCTCAACAACATACTATATAACATGACAGTAGTAAAATATGTTTAGCCAGAAAATACCTTTTGTATACCATACACATTTATATGTCATTCCCTGAATTTGTTTCTCAGACACTCAGAACCAGACATCTGTCATACCTAATCCTGATTCCCAGTCCCCTCCATACCATACTGTCTTCCATATACCACCCTACCCGCTTAGTAGTAGGTGCATGGCCTGCAGGAGGAGGTGGGAATGCTGGGAACAAGACCTGATTCTTTTAAAAAAATTTTTTTTCCTTTCTTTTGAGTTGATTTTTCAGCAAAGGATCTTATTCTTAACTTCAAAGAACCAAAAGAAACTAAAAACTATAAATCAAACTTTATAGGAACTCAGAGGGAAGGAAACCCCCTCCTGGCTAGGGCTTTGTGGGAAAGGAGGGATTTGCAAGTTTTTTACTGATTGAGAAGGATGTGGGATGGCTTGGATCTCTTGGTTTCTAAACCTGTCAAAAAAACCACCACCTACAACCAAATGAGTCCTGTGGAATCAGAATTATTGAAGTGGCACCCAGGCATCTATTTTTTCAAAGTTCCCCTGGTGATTCTGTTCATCAGCAAGGTTTGGAAAGCACCTTTCAGATGGAGGGAATAGTTTGAGAAACATGGAAGTTAGCCAGCACAGGGCATGTTTGGAGAACAGGGTGTCATCTGATCATTGATCATGGCTGGAGTTGAGGGTACATTAGGGAATACTGGGAGAGAGAAGGCTGGAAGGGTGACTTGGAGCTGGGTTCTCGAGGGCCTTAGCTGCCAGGCCTGGGCATAGGAACTTTCTTCTGCAGATAAAGGGCAAGTGTGGAAGAGTTTTATATAGGGGAGGAGCATGCTTTCATGGGGGAGAGCAGGAGAGGCTGGAGGGTGGTTAATGGTTACAGGCAGGATTCCCCACCCCCCCTTGCTGGGAGGCTGTGCGTTATCTCAGCTGCAATATCTGTACTACTAAGGTGGTAATGGTGGGACTGGAAAGGAAAGGAGCAGAGTGGAAGGCTTTTCAGAGGAAGAACGTGGATTTGTGAGGGACTGGTGGCGTAAGGCAGATCTTACTGTCTCCTACTAATAAGGCAAAGTGTTGGGTGAAGGATTGTGGTGAATGTATCGTCTTTATTTTCTCTGTAACCCATGGCACCTGTATCTAGTCAGTCACCTGTACCTGGGTCAAGATGAATGGGATGGCAGATCTCCATCACCAGAAGGAGGTCGTGGGAGTCAGTAACAGTTTGGGGTTGGGACCTTGGAGAATCCTAGAATGGTTGCTGTGGTTTGGGGACAGGTTCATGGTGAAGCTGGCTGAAGAGACCGACGGGATCATTGTCTCCAACGACCAGTTCCGGGACCTGGCAGAGGAGTCGGAGAAGTGGATGGCAATCATCAGAGAGCGGTGAGGGAACCCTTCCCTGAGAATAGGGCATGGACTCAGACCTTTCTCTAAAACCAGTTCTGCTCTGGCCGCCGGGTGAAAACTCTGGAAGGAACTTAAGTTACCTTGGAGGATGGTAGCCAGCAGCTTCTGGTGGTGTTGATCTCAGCTGTGTGGGAGGTGGGCAAGCCCCCTCCGTCCCAGGGACCACACATTCTCTTTCCTTGTCTAGCCTGCTGCCCTTTACCTTCGTGGGAAACCTCTTCATGGTCCCTGATGACCCGCTGGGGCGAAATGGCCCTACCCTGGATGAGTTCTTGAAGAAGCCAGCCAGGTAATGCCCCAGACTCCTGCAGGCAGCCCCTCACCCTGGCCCTCTCTGCAGGCCTGGAGACGTGGGTGGAAGTGCGACCTCAATTTGGGCCAGCTTAATTCTGTAGTAGTTTGATGTGCCTTGGGCTCGCTCTTTATAAGCTTCCTAGGGAAGACTGACACAGAACCTTCTGGCCTGGAGGGAAACACCTGCTTCCTGTTTCCCTTAATCAGTGTGTTTGGTGGAGTTATTTGGAAGGTGGTTGCTTGTATGGATAGCCATTTGTATTTGGCACACCCTCTGCTGGACCATTAAGTAAGGGATTAATTTAGGACTAGAACTGGATCATATTAGTGGCAGGGTTCACCTTTCCTGGTTCCAAAGAACTGTTGGTCTCCCCTTCAGAAGTGGGTTGATGCTGCCGCTCAGTGGTCAACTTGGGGAACTTCAGGATTGCTCCCCTAGAGCCAGGGATGTATTCCCTCCAGGATGTTCATCAGCGCTTGTTCTCTTTCTTCTAGGACACAGGAGTCTTCCAAGGCTCACAGTCCTTCCAGGGGCTTCACAGAACATGGTAATCAGCAGCAGGGGAGAGAAGAGGAAAAAGGCAGTGGTGGCATTCGGAAGAACCGGGAGACAGAGCGGCTCCGGCGCCAGCTGCTGGAGGTGTTTTGGGGTCAGGATCACAAGGTGGACTTCATCCTGCAGCGGGAGCCATACTGCCGGGACATTAACCAACTGTCCGAGGCCCTGCTCAGTCTCAACTTCTGAGCCTCATCTGCTTGAGTGGTTGCAGCCCCATCAGCTCTAGCCTCCCCCAGCTCAGCTTCTTGTGAGAGTCTCTCCGCTGCTCAGACCCTGACCCAGCCTCACTCTGAGTTGGTACTTTGGGTAAGGAAGCACCGAGGAAGAACATTTGAGTATGGAGAATGTTTTTGCCTGGGGCACTTTGGAGACAGGTCCATAAAGTGACCTGATCTCACTTGGAGTCAGGACCTCAACCAGCTCTCAAGAGGTTCTACTCAGTCTTAACTTCTCAGCCTTGCCTTAGTATAGGTTTCTGTAAGTCCTGGGGACTGGGGCTACTGGCTCCACCTCCAAGTGAGTTGGGGTGGAAGCTAGGGTGGCTAGAGGTGGCAGGAATCTAAGCCTTTTCTCCCCTGAGTGTTGCTCTGGGTGGTCAGAAGACAGGATGCTCCCTAGGCCTGCCTAGGCTCCTGGGAATGTGGAGGGAATGCTAGGCCCTGGCTGGACTATAGTGTTCCATGGGCTGGGTCGCAGTGAGCTGGTGAAGAAGGCAGAGGGAGACTTGGCACCTGGTCTCAGCTTTGCTTGCCTGTGACCCTGATTGAGCTGCTTGGCCTTTATTTCTGTCTATAAGCCAGGGGTAAAAATACTTGTTGGGAGGAGAAATGAGAACATGGAGGAAAGCTTGGAGGAAAAGTACTTGGATCAAGTCTTAGCTGGCTGCCTGTGGCTATATAGGCTTCCTAACCCAAACCTCACTTTCAGAGAGATGTTGGTCCTCTGTTTCCAGGGCCCACACCCTAGGTTTTAACACTGTGTCCTCAGTATAACATGCCCTATAATGGCTGCATCCTTTTTGGGCAACCTCCAAAATCCACATTTAGAAAATAGTTAAATTAGGGGTTACTGTTTGCTTTACCAGAATACTCTCAGGGTTCCTATAAATGGCAGCTCTTCTGTTGCATTCAAGTGTTTACAGACTAACAAATGTGTCAGAAAGTCCCTGGTTAGATGCACTTACTGAAGTGTTGAGAGCATTCACCAAATTGATGAAGTCATGCTCTGCGATCGACAATGTTAATGTGATCTGACCCTAATATTTTTGCTACAGAAGACATGCTGCATGAAGTGAGGCACACTTCTGCTTTGTGCATGTGTATATGGGGATGGGAGGGCTTAGAGGTTGAACCAATTGATTCTAGATGAACCAATTCTCTGGAAAATGAGAACTACAGAATCAGAGTTGGAAGGCACCTGATTAGCCACCAGACCAACTCTGCTGTCATATCAGAGATGCTCTCTCCACTCTGATTCCTATAGGTCATTGCCCTGTGTCTGCTTGAAGTCCTGTGCCAAGGAATTTACTACCTCCAAGGTAGTATGTTCCCTATGTGGACAGTAATAATCGGGAGTCCTTCCTTTAGTGCAGCCTAAAATACGCTTTTCTATCACTTTTATCTCTGAGGCCAGTCATTCCCCCAGGAACAACACAGAGCCAGTCAACTTCCTCAAGTCCAATCTGATAAAGAAGCAGGACAGGTGCCCCTGGGTTCTGTTCTGTCTGGGCCCTGCAGTGAGTCCCTGGACAAGATCCTTTTTCTGCCTCCCTCTGAGTGGCACAAGGAGTTGAATACTGCATGGGGAGCAGAATGATGGGGAGGGTCCCCAGGTCCTAGTGTCTTCCCGCCTTCCCCTTTTGGTGATTTTACACTAGCCCATATTGACCTGGGCTGGAGGCAGGTGTATTGGAGACAGGCTGGTCATAGTCCTTGAGAAGAAAGATCGGTTAATATGGCTTGAACTGGGATTGGGAGAACTACTTCTGGTCAAGTTATGGCAGATATCACAACTTTTGACTTTTTTTTTTCCCTGATAGTGTTGAGTTTATAGTTCTTAATTAGTTCCTTGCCCTTTTTACTTTCAGTGATGGTATGGGTGCAGAGGGCAGAGGTATCTTCTGCCCTTTTGTGCTAAGGGCTCTAGTTTGACTGAAGTCGCTATGATCAGATGAGAGGCAAGTCCTAGGCTTCTTATAAACAGGGATGCTGGCTTTATCCTGCTGCAGCTTGATAAACTGGGACTACCGTACCACCGTGTGACTGCTTTATTAATTCACTGCCACTTGGTGACACAGACTGAAGGCAGACCTATAGCTGGGTCTCACCTCTTCCCCGGCTGACATCCTAATGGCACCCTGTGACACGCATGCAGGGTAACTACACAACCCATTAGAAATGGGTAATTTTCTCTTGTCTCTTTTAATTATTATGGGTACATAATAGTTGTATGTCTTTATAGGGTACATGTGATGTTTTGATACATGCATATAATGTGAATCTCTTATCTTTTAATTGCTATCTTTATCATAACCTCATGCCCCGAATTTGTGACCAGCTCTTTTGGCAATAGAGGGACCAGGAAGGAAGAGGGTGAGGAGAGATGTTGCCCATTGTAACTTTCAAAACCCCATGTATGGGAAAGAATCATTTAGGATTCCTTGAAATAAACTTCACGAGAATCTAGGCCAAAGAGATGCTCCAAGGCCAGCGAGATAATTCGTCTTTATTGCTTGAACTGCAGAGTGTTCTCTACACAGCATAAAGGAGAAGAGGGGCAGCAACAAACACATAGAGACCAAGCTTGGAAATCCTTTCACAAGAGTCAAAGAGGTTAAGGCCCCAACCTGATGACATTACTGCCTTGAGACTGTGGACAGTCTGCCAGTTAAACAGGGTAGAGCAACAGAATGGTGAGGGGGAATCCCTAAGAACCAGATGGCTTCACATCTCAAGCAGAAGAGTAGCTGACCCTATATACAGTGTATAACCAGGAAGCCTCTGTGGATGGACAGGACTTAGGCCCTGGCCATGCACTTCCCTAGTTAGGCTACGACTTCTTTCAAGGCAGCCCCTAGCTCTGGGAAGGAATACTGGTAGCCTGCGGCCAGTGTCCGCCGTGGGATCACCTTCTGGCCCTCCAGTAGCATGATGGCACGTTCTCGCCCATAGATAGCTTGTACTGCAATGCTGGGAACAGGAAGGAAGGCTGGGCGGCCCAGGGCAGCACCCAAGGCCTGGGCAAATGCAGCATTGGTAGTGGTGGAGGCTGGAGCCACTCCATTCAGGACCCCCTGTACGTGGTTTGCTTCAAGGGCATGGGTCAGAATGCCCACCAGGTCCCTGATGTGAATCCAGGGGAAGAATTGGTGGCCTGAGCCGATGGGGCCCCCCAGGCCCAGGCGGAAGGGCAGCAGCATGGCACTGATGGCACCACCCCCACGTCCCAGCACAACCCCTAGAGGAGGCGAGAGAGATGGTACAGGGAGGCCCCTGAGCCTCGAAGCAGCTTTCCTGCTCCTCCCACTTTCTCAGGCTCCCTTCTCCTGCCCACTCACTCAGCTGAGTGGAAGGGTATGGCTCTCTTTGGGTCTTTCCATCCTCCCGTCTACAGGTTAGCTAGAAGTGGTGGCATTCTCCTACTCTCTGTAAGCTCAGCTCCCCTGATCCCACCACTCCCCCAAACCAGGGGAAGGAAGTTCCAACACCATCTGGTACCCAGGTCCTTGGTTCTTACCAGAGCGCACCACCACCTGCCGTGTAGAATCTCCAGGAAGCTTGGCTGCAGCTTCCCATTTGGTCACAAGGTTGGAGAAAAAGTCAAAATCCCCTCCTGGGCTGTCCTCATCATACTCTGCTGTCAGGCTGGGCTGGTAGTAAGCTGCCGGTGGAACAGCACTCATTTGCCCTGGTGTCCTTGCTCCTGCCTGGCTCTTTGCACTGGAGGCTCCCCTTGGCCTCACCCTCTTTGGTCCTTGGCATCTCCCCATGTGAAGACAGAGCCATGGATATTTTCCCTTTGAGCTTCTCCAGGACCTGATCTGTTCCTGCCCTGGAGGAACTCTTATCTTTGGTTGCAGGGCTAAACCTAAAGGCTGCCAGAGTATAGTGGTTAAGAACTTGGTGTACCAGGCTGCCTGAATTTTAATCTCATTTGTTCACTCTGTGACTTTAGACAAATTACATAATCTTTGTATGGAGTTTTCACATTTTTAAAATGGGAATGATAGTACCTACCTCATAGGGTTGTTGTGAGGATTAAATGATGTAATATGTATAAAGCACTTCAAATAGTGGTTGGCGTGCACATTATAATTGTTTGCAATTATTTGGTTCCGAGGGTGACATAGAACAATCAGGAACTCTGTTCCTAAAGAACTGTGGTGTGAGAAGCAAGGGACTTTCCCAAGTCCCTTGGGCTTTTCCCTGGCACTAGGAGCAGTGCCACTCCTCCCTCTTTCTCTTGAGTCTCCATTTCTCTAAGTATCCAAAGTATAGGAGAAACATGCATGGATCAAAGGCCTAGGAAGTTATTGTGCCTGGAAAAGGCCAGTACTCTGGGGTAAGGGCCTGAGCAACCCTCTCACTCTGTACCCTCTGCCCTTCCCCTGGCTAATGTCACGGTTTGCTGAATTGGGGGCATACCTACACCTGTGACTAAGATCCAGGCCTTGGGGGGTTGTGGGGCCTCGGTGATAGCTTTAGCTAGCATTTGGGTGGTCTCCAGGCGGCTGCAGAGAACCTCTTTTTGGAAGGCTTCATTCCACCTGCAGGAGAAACACAGAAGTAAAAAGCCACTAAATACACCCAAGCACATATCCCTCCCTCTCTCCCTAGGAACTGTTCCATACCCATTTCTAGTAAAACCCTGAAGTGTGTCTTAAGAGAAAAAGTCTATGTCTCCTATAGAGGGAAAAGGCGTATCTTTCTTGGGCATCCTGAGTTATACATGAGGACTTAAGCCAACTGGCTGACTAGGAATAGAGGCAAATGGGCAGAATGAGTGAGTAGTCCGGGATATTGGCTTAGTTTTCAATCCGGCAGCTCCATTATCCACAGCTCACAGGGTCTCCTCAGAGTCAGACCCTCTCCCTCCCACTGCTCTGGAGGCTGTCAGCTTTAGGGCCCAGGCTGACCTTCGGAGAGGGTTGAGGATGTTCTCTCCGGCCAGGTTGACGGCGGCATCGCAGCTGGGCAGCCCGGACGTAGCGAGCTCATCCTGTCAGACAAAGCACACAGTGCCCCTGGCCCCGCCCTGCGCCGCCTTCCCACCCAGCTTCCAGGGAACCGACATACCCACGTGATCCGGCCGGGCCCTGGTTGTCGGGAGACCAGCGTCACTTCGTGGCCCCTGGTTTTCAGCAGCTGGGTTAGGGCTGTCCCGATGAAGCCGGTCCCGCCACCTGATCGGAAAAAACAAAATTGTTTATATTCCCGGGGAGTGGGGCGCGCCCTCAGTCTCCGCTTGTGGCCCCCTGCTCTGGTGCCATCCCATCTAACGCCAGACTTCCGCCCTCTTCCTGTCTCCCTCCCCGAGACGCAGAGGTGACACAGGTCACAGGGGTTAGGGAGGTTCGGCTTCTCGGGCTAGGAGACTGAGGCCAGGCAGCCTGAGCAGGAGACACTGCCCTCCCGGTAACGGCCTCCCAGTTCTCAATCTCCGGCTAAACCCGCCCCCATCCTCCCTCTTTCCCCTCCCTCACCCACAAGCACCCGCATAGCGACCGGGACCTAACGCGCCTGCGCTAGCTTTAAAGCTCGCACGACCTCTGGCGCGACTCGACCTCTCTGCGCATGCGTATTCTGGGAAGCGCCTCCAATTGGGGCGGACAGGAGTGAGACTGGGCGTGGCCCTTCTGTGAGACCTGGAAGGATTTATAACGACAGGTTATATTTCTTTGGGGAGCAAGGTGGCGGAAACTGGCCTTAGACCGAAGGGCGGGGAAAGAGGAGGAGGCGGTGGATGAGGGAAAGTGTTAGTGCAGAAAACCAAACCAAACAAGCAAAACCCTTGACCTAAAACCCGAAGCCACCAAAACCGCAGAATTCTGTTCATTTAGTTTGGTGGGTCATTAATCAAAGATAATCCGTCCACCGGCATTATGGATTCTTTCTTGTTTTCTCTTCTCCCTGTTCCGCTGGATCCTTCCTATCAGCATTTAAACATTCCAGACTTCCCCTCATCTTAAAATTACCCGTCTCCAGCCCTCTTTTCCTCCAGCTAATGTTCTTTCTCTTCACCTTCATAGCTAAACTCCTCAAAAGTGTGGTTTCCATTTTCTATTTCCCAATTCATGCCCATCTGGTTTTCACTTTTATCATTCATTCATTTCCCCTCTCTCCAAGAACACAGATTTCCCATGTGTCACTAAATCTAATGCCATTTCAGTCATTTTTCTTGACCTCTCAGCATCACTGGGTACTTGCTGACTCCTCCCTCCCTTTGGAAATGCTTGGTCTCTTGGCCTCAGTGAAAGACTTTGAGTCTTTCTCCTAGCTCTTTTCAGTCCCTGATGCTTGTTCCATCTCCTCTAAGTTCTTAACGTGTTAGTATTCCTTAGAGCTGGGTCCTAGGACCTTCTTCTCTTCCTACTCTACACTTTCTCCCAAGCTTCTACGCCATGAATTCAGTTACCATTTTTTGTTGCAGAAGACTTCCCAAATCTCCTGTGCAACTCAGATTTCTCCTCTAAAAAATCCGATGTCTGAAACCATGCTGATTTTACTTACCGAATGTCTCCCAGATCCATCTATTTCTCTTTTATCTCTGCCACCATAACCCTCACAGAAGTTATTCTTTTTTGTCTAAATTTCTGCAGTAGTCTCTTAATAGATCTTGCTTTTTCACGTTTCTCCTTTCCAAACTATTCCACACATTACAAGCTGAGTGACCTTTGAAAAACATTTTGGAGGAACACTATAATGGCATATATATTTAAAAACTCCCAGTATAAAATTCCTGGATATGCTGGATAAAATTTAACACACCTCCATTTAAATGTATTGCCAGGTTAACTAGAAAAATAAAGGAAATCTCCAGAGACCAAAAAGCAAAGTGTGCCTGGGATTGAGGCTATGACAGAGATTGTTTTCTTGGGCCAAATTTTAGTCAGGCTTATGAACCTCCTAGGCCCATCGGTACACTTCCTCATAAAATCCAGTTTTAACAAAGAGCCCTACTAAGTCAGTTTAGCAAGAAACCCCCACCCTTGATATCTGATCAGGTATCACCTTCTGTATCTGATCAGGTACCTCATATTCCACTATTCCCCAGGTGATGTCTGATCACTCTGGTGTATCTTAAGCAAGAATCCTGTCTGGTTAGTTTAGTCCAAATCCCCCTTACCCCTGATGTTTCATCTTAGTAATTTTTCATCCACTGACTTTCAACCCTGCTGCTTGGTTATAAATTCCCACTTGCCCATGCTGTATTTGGAGTTTGCTCAATCTCTTTTCCCCACTGCAAGACCATGTTACAGTGGTCTTTATACCTTGTGATGGTCCTGAATAAAGTCTTCCTTATGTTGCGCTAACAATTAGACACACCACCTCTACCACAGTTGCCACCTGGCTCAAGCTAATGCCATCCTTTGCCTGGACCATCCTAAGGGTCTCCTGACTGATTTTCCTTACAGTTTATTCTTCACACAGTGGACAGAGTGATCCTTATAAAAGTTTAAAGCAGATCACATCGAACTTGTGCTCAAAGTCTTCCAGTGGATTCTGGTTTCTGAGTAAAATCCAAAGAACTCACAGTGACCTTCAAGACTGTTGGTGGTCTGGTCCTCACCTGTCTCCATGACCTTGCCTCTTGCCTGGTCTGCTCAAGCCACTTGGACCTCTCAGTTGAGTATGGTGGACCTGCTTCTGCCTCAGGGCCTTTTGCTGTTCCTTGCTTGAAGTGCTCTGCCTCCAAATATCCACATGGCTCTCCCATACCTCACTTCCTTCAGGCCTCTAATAAAATGTTTTGTTAGACATTACTTGACCAGCATATTTAAAATAAGTCTTCTTCCTAACCTCTGGGACTTCCTATCATCTTCATCCTGCCTTACTTTTCATACCACTTATTATCATCTGATGTGTACTTATTAATACTTGCTTACTTGTTTGTTATTTGTCTCCTCTCACTAGAATGCAAACTCCACAAGAGCAGGTATTTTCTCTACTGTGTTCACTCCTTATCCCTGAATTTTGAAGAGTGCCTTCATTTGTCAGCTGCTCAATTAGTATTTATTGAATAAATGGAAGAGCAGTTGCTACGAGTATAGGCCTTGGAAAGAGATTCCCTGAGTTCAAATCCAGATCTTTTCTTTAATATTGGGTATGACTTTGGGCAAGTTTCTTAACCTCTCTGTACCTTAGTTTCTTTGTTTTAAAATAGCATAACAGTAGTACCTGCCTCATGGGTTTGCTATGGAGACCAATAAGTTAATAGATTTAAATCTCTTAGATCAGTTCATAGCATATAGATTTGATAAATGTCAATCATCATCATCATCATCATCAGATGAAATTACTAGCTGGGGTTTTAGAAATATAAGAAGAGGCAGAATTCTGGAAATCTGAGAGAAGCTAGAGGCTGTAGACAGTGAGGACAGGATTGGTGGAAGCTTTGTGTGGCAGATTGTATTTTCCAAAGATGGCTGCGACACTCTCAGTTTCATATTCTGTTCTGGAAACTTTCACTTCCCATCACGAGGGGGCATGCATGTACCTTCCCTTGAGCCCAGATAGGTGTTTATAACTGCCCCCAGCAATATAACTTCTGAGTCTAGGTCATGAAAATGCCACATACTTTGACATTATTTTCTTGGGATGTTTACTCTTAGAACCCACTCACTGTGCTATGGGAGAGTCCAGCTAGCCCATGCAGAAAGACTACATGGAGAGGCCACATATGGGTGCTCCCGTGTCAGCCCAGCTGAGGTCCTAGCCAATGGTTGTCAACAACTGCCAGATGTGTGAATGAAGATGCCTCTAAATGACACCAGCCCTTGGTGAGTCACACTCAGCCTTCGAGTCTTCTCAAGTAGGGCACCAGACTTCATGGAGCTGAGACCAGGAGTCTCTCCTGTGCTCTGTGTGAATTCCTGAACCTTAGGATTCATGAGAGTAATATTAATACTATGGTTGTTTTATGCTACTACATTTTGGAGCAGTTTGTAGTGCAGCAACAGTTAACTGGGCACTCAGGGTCAACTTTCAAGAGATCAGTCAACAGTACAGCAATTTGATACAGGCAGGAGAAGCCACGCCAAGGCAGGTGAGAAAAATGATCCTCTTATTTCATTGCTGGGTCATGGATTCCTAAACAGGAGATCTGAAATCCTTAGCAGGATATCTGATCATTTAATGGGAAGATGGTGGATGGAACGTAATTCTAGAGTAAAAGAAGGGTATGGGTAAGCGGGTGAGAGTGAAGTGGTCTTGTATGTGAGGAAGAAATAAATAATCTTGAAATAAAAATTTATAAAATGTCTGTGGGAGGAAATCACATTCTCATGTGAGTCTGAAAAACACATTTATGAATAATAAAACATCTGCTGATTAAATGACATCATATACTCTTAGAAGTTGCATTAGAAGGCAGATCATTGCCAGATGAATACAACTTACCTATTCATTCGTTTGCTAGAACATATTTGGCGTCCTTTTTGGGGAACCAGTGAGGGACTGAGTGAGGTGGTGAGAAGCAAGGTATACTTTTATTATTCAAGACTGAACGGATGAAACAGTGAAAGATGAGTATAAAAAGGTGGAGGCACTCTCTGTTGTAGATCATCTGACTTGTCCAAAAAGACTGAGTAAAAAATGAGATTAGAGAAGCTGTTAATTTAATTCAAACAGTACTATTTGAGGAAACAAATGGTGGAAAATGCCTTATTATGATGAAAATTAAAGGTGATTGGGCCGGCGCGGGTGGCTCACGCCCTGTAATCCTAGCACTCTGGGAGGCCAGGCTGCGGATTGTTTGAGGTCAGGAGTTCAGAAACCAGCCTGAGCAAGAACGAGACCCTCTCTACTATAAATAGAAAAACAATTAATTTGGCAACCTAATATATATTACAAAAAATTAGCCAGGCATGGTGGCGGCATGCTGTAGTCCAGCTACTTGGGGCTGAGGCAGTAGGATTGATTGAGCCCAGGAGTTTGAGGCTTGTGAGCTAAGCTACGCCGTCACTCACTCTAGCCATGGCAACAAACAAGACTCTGTCTCAAAAAAAAAAAAAAAAAAAAAGTGATGCTTTTAAGATTCAGTGATATGGAAATAGACTTGGAACATAAACCAGGGCAGGTGTTAGCTGTAATTCCTTCAGTAATAGTGTTTATGCCCAATTAAATTCAACGTTCTTGCAGGAGGAGGGAGATAACTGAGGTAAAACAGGAAAATTAGTTAATGAAAAATTGAAAGATAGAATATTAAAAGGCAACTACTCATAAGAACCCTGTAAATTACAGACATAGTGGAAGTTCCAGAAATAATAATCTCTGGATCAATGTTTCCAAGCCCTTAAAAATTTTTTCTTGGTGATTAACCAGCATAATCAAAGAGGCTGCTACAGGTTAAAAAATTATATACCTTTTAAAAATATGGTAAAATTGACTGGTTGAGGACAAAAAGAGAAGTCACAGAAAATCAAGAGTTAAGTGTTCGCTAGAAATTAGGTAAACAAAAATACTTAGAGGGACTGAAAAATAAGTTAAAAAAAAACCCCAACAAACCAAACTTTTAATTGCAGTATGACACTAATATAACTCAGTGAGCTGTCACAAAGTGAACATATCCCTGTAACCACTACCCAATCAGGAAATAGGGCATTTCAGAAGTCCCCCTCACCCAACTATGTACCTCTTCCTAATTCTTTTTTTTTGAGACAGAGTCTCACTTTGTTGCCCAGGCTAGAGTGAGTGCCATGGCATCAGCCTAGCTCACAGCAACCTCAAACTCTTGGGCTCAAGCAATCCTACTGCCTCAAGCCTCCCAAGTAGGTGGGACTACAGGCATGCGCCACCATGCCCGGCTAATTTTTTCTATGTATATTAGTTGGCCAATTAATTTCTTTCTGTTTATAGTAGAGACTGGTCTCGCTCTTGCTCAGGCTGGTTTTGAACTCCTGTTTCTTTCTATTTATAGTAGAGACAGGGTTCTTGCTCTTGTTCAGGCTGGTTTCGAACTCCTGACCTTGAACAATCTGCCTGCCTTGGCCTCCCAGAGAGCTAGGATTACAGGCATGAGCCACCACCCCCGGCCTTACCTCTTCCTAATTCTTATCATCTCCATCTTCACCAAATGTAACTGCCATCTTGACTTTTAACACCATACAATAGTTTTGTCTGTTTCTAAACTTTATATAAGTAGACAGACCCAATTAGTTCTTCTTTTTTTTTTTTTTTTTTGGAGACAGCAGTCTCAGCATTTGTTTGCCCAGGCCCTAGAGTGAGTGCCGTGCGTCAGCCTCGGCTCGCAGGCAACCTCAAAACCGCTGGCTCAAAGCAATCTCACTGCCTCAGCCTCCCAAGTGCTGGGACTCAGGCATTCGCCACCATGCCCGCTAATTTTGTTTGTATATAATATCTAGTTGGCAATTATTTCCTTCCTATTTTATAAGTAGAGACGGGGTACTCGCTCTTGCTCAGCGGTTTCGCAACCCTGACCGTCGGAGCAATCGCCGCCCGGCCTCACGCAGGAGCGTAGATTACAGGCGTGAGCCACCGCGCCCGGCCTAGTTCTTTCTTTTAAGTCTGGCTTTTCTTCTCTCTACATTATGTTTGTGATATTCATTTATATAATTGTAATAAGTTAATTTTTATTGTTGAGTAACATCCTGTTGTATGATTATACCACAGTATTTATTCATTGTCCTGTTGAAGGACTTTTGAGTTGTTTCTACATGTCATGTTTTTATGAACATTCTTGTTCATGCTTTTTGATGCAGAGATTTCTTTTGGGTGTATTCCTAAGTATGGAATTGATGTCATTGGATATATGCATTTTCAGTTTCTCGTCTGATACTAGCAAAGTGGTGGAGTCAGTTGGCACTCCCTCTAGTGGTGCATGAGCATTCCTGTTGCTCTCTTTGGCAATGTTTAATAGCAATTTTTCTGATTTTAACCATTCTAGTGAGTGCTTAATGCTATTGCTTTGTGTTTTTAATTTGTATTTTCCTGATTCCTTACGAGGATGGATACCTCTCATATGTTTGATGGCTATTTGGTTATCTTATTTTGTTAATTTTCTGTTCAAGTCTCTTGTTTGTGTTTCTATTGGATATCTGATGTTTTAAATTATTGACTTATAGTCATAACTTGCAAGTTCTGCACGTGAGCGCTTTGTTGGTATATGTGATGCAAAGATCTTCTCCCATTCTGTGGCTTGCTTTTTCATTCTCTTAAAGGTGTCTTTTGATGAATAGAAGTCCTTCTTAAGGTCCAACCTATCAAATTATTTTTCCTTTAACCCTTTGCACTCGGATGTTGAGTGTGATTCAACACGGTTAGCATCGGTTATAGAGATTAAAATTACTCTTTGAATGTATCAATAATTTGAAATATAAAAAAATCCAAATAAATGTTTGTATGAAAAGAAACTCCAGTTTTTTATTCTACTGCCGCGCCTTGTAAAATTTGGGGTATTTAAAAAATTAAATCCCAAGTAGAATAAAGGAATTGAGAAAAAAGCAAGCGAGTGCAAAGGGTTAAGGCAATGTTTCTCAATGAGAAGGTGATTCTGTCCTTCCAGGTGGGTTATCAGATAAAATACAGGAAACCCATATAAGTATGAATACAGGACACCCAATGAAAAACATTTTAATATAAGTATTTCTCAGGTAATATATGGGATATGTATCTGTATATTCCAAATATATAAATAGATATATATATATCCTAAATATATATCCCAAATCATATATATATATTTCTTCTTGCTATTGTTTATCTGAGATTCAAATTTAACTGGGCATTCTTTTTATTTTTTCCTCCTAATTCTGGTAACCATACCCCTAGGGGACATTTGACAGCATCTTGGAGACATTTTTGGTTGTCATAATTGGGGGTGGGGTGGGGAACCTATTGGCATCTAGTGGATAGAGGACAGGGATGCTGTTAAACATCCTACAATGCACAGGACAGCTCCCCAGAATAAAAATTGATCCAGTTAAAAATGTCAATAGAGCGAGGTTGAGAAACTTGCTTTAACATTAGTTCTTTTTGTGCACCTTGGAGAAGTCTTTCTAGGCTGGGCGAGGTGGCTTATGCCTGTAATCCTAGCACTCTGGGAGGCTGAGGTGGGAGGATTGCTTGAGCTCAGGAGTTCGAGACCAGCCTGAGCAAGAGCAAGACCCCGTCTCTACTAAAAATAGAAAGAAATTAGCTGAAACAACTAAAAATAGAAAATATTAGCCGGGCACTGTGGTGTGTGCCTATAGTCCCAGCTACCTGGGAGGTTGAGGCAGGAGGATTGCTTGAGCCAAGGAGTTTGAGGTTGCTGTGAGGTAGGCTGACACCATGGTACTCTAGCCTGGGCAATAGAGTGAGACTGCTCAAAAAAAAAAAGAAGTCTTTCTAAATTCCAAGGTAATACAGACATTTTCCTATTACATCATCTGAAAGTTTTATTGTTTTGCCTTTCACATTTGGATCACTTGGAATTAATTTTTATGTATCTGTGAGACAGGAGTCAAATTTCATTTTTCCTCATGGATAATAGTCACTTGATCCAGCAATATTTATTCAAATGACTGTCCCTTGCCACTTTTCTGCAGTTCTTCCTTTGCCATAAACCAAGTGTATATGGACAAATGTGTCTGTTTCTGAATTCTTTTCTGTTTCATTGCTCTAATTAATTGCCTTTGCATCAACACCACACTGTACTAATTGCTGTAGTTTTAAGTAAATCTTGATGTTTGGAAGTATCCTAGATTGGGTTTCCCGAGAGACCCTAATACAAAGATTTGAGTGGAATAGTTTATTTGTGATGCAACTCCTGGAAGCATTA